TTCACAATGCTATTAATGACAAGAACTTTGGATGATTTAGGTGCAAATATGAGTGTTGTGGCTTAGTAGGTACATAACCTTTGAGCTAATCACAGAACCTCTCAGGGCTTCTGTTTTCTCACCTGTGTAATGAGAACTTGACCAAATGATCTCTAAGATCCCTCCCAGCACAAACACTTCGATGATGATAATAAACAATTTCATTCATTCATTGCTTTCCACATTGACTGGCCTAAAAAGAAGGAGGGGAAACGTAGGCAGAATTCATCCCAGCAGGGAGGGAGAAGGATGGAAGCTCTGTTGAGGTTGCCCCAACACGACTAGGTAAGGATGGAGAAAGAACAGAAAGGGGGCAAAGAAGGAAGGTACCTGCTACCAGTGGCATTCTTCCCAGGAGTGTGACTGTCTTCTCTGCGTCTGAGTAACTGAATACAAAAAAGAATATCAATTGATCACTTAGTATATTCCTAACTCACCACCTATGATGGGATGATTTCCAACTGCTATTATTAAAAGCTTCACGGGCAGAGACAACACTCAAAGGAAGTCACTGCTGAGCTTTCATTTCCACTGAATTGTAGTTGGCTATCAAGGCCCTGCTAAATATATAGCTCTTCCCAGTCAACACTACGCTCTATGAAGACGAAGCTCTTAAGTTACAAAGATCTGCATGTGCTCTCCAAGGGTGGCAAAATAAAAGATCAAAAGGCAGTTTAATTATTTTTTTCCATGTTAGCAATTTCATCTCTAGTGGAAACTTTATATTGGAAGAGAATATACTTTAAAATAACACAATACTCACAACCAAAATCAGTGTGTTTCTACTACAAAAGAAGGGCAGTTAGGTGGCACACTGGATAGAACGTCAGGCCGGGAGTCAGGAGGTCCTGAGTTCAAATTCAGCCTCAGACACTTACTAGCTTCAAGATCCTGGGCAAGTCACCTAACCCTGTTTGCCTCAGTTTCTTCATCCATAAAATGAGCTGGAGAAGGAAATGTCAAACCCCTCCTGTATCTTTGCCAAGAAAACTCCAAACGGGGTCACGGAGAGTTTTACATGACTGAAATGACTTAACAACTGCTAAAAGAAAAACAATGCACTTTGGAGAGACGACTTTACATTTGCACAATTGAGTTTTAATGGGAATCAATTCCCTTTCATTATTTTACCAGAATCAACACTATTGATATTTCTACACAGACCCAAAAGGGAATAAGTAGTTTCAGTTTTAAGAATAGAATAAATTCCACTTCATAAATGGTTTAAATAAGGATTCTGTGGTAGAGAAAACACGGAGAAAGAAGCAAGACCTCTTAACATCATTATCCAAGTTCAAGAAATCAAACAGGTCCAGGGTCATCTCTAAGCTATAACAACATTCCTCTAAGATAAGAGTTACATTTCCACTTAGAGAGGCACTGTTGAAGATTCAGAAGCCTTGGGTAAATAGAACTAATAAGTTGTAAATATTGGATATCACCCACTGTAGTGTTTACTACATAGACCACAGTTAGGCATGCCCTAGAATCAATTCCTCCACTAAAGGACAGCTCCTTTGGGTAACGTGCTAATTTCAGGGGAATTTCAGTCCTAAATCTCAGAGGACTTTTTCTAGATGTTACCTCTGATTCATCACAGTCTGCTCTGAATTAGTCATATGTGTCCACAAATAGTTTCCCTATAATTAGATTGTAAGTTCTTTCAGAACAAGGACTACATCACTACTTCATCACTGTGTCCCCATTACCTCAGATGCATGGAAAAATTCAATCACTCAACAAGCATTTTACTTATTTAAACAGCCTCTACTTTTATATCACCTGGGTACACTGCCCCCTGTACCCCTCTCCTCACCTCTTCCCAAAGAGCCATTGCCTAAACACAAAAGAGGAAGAAAAAAAAATAGTTCGGCAAAACCAACCAACATCCACAAGAGTCTAAATTTATGTGCAGTATTCCATACCTGGTGTTCCCTACTTCTGCAAAAAGAGGGAAGGGGCAGTATTTTCTCCTCTCTCTTATTTGGGGCCAAGCTTCAACAAGAATTTTATTAAGTGCCTCCTAGATGCCAGGCACAGGGTTAAGTGCTGGTGATACAAAGACAAAATAGTCCTTGGCCTCAAAGAGTCTACGTTATAGGAATTCAGCAAGGTGGGTATTTCTACCACCAAAGCAGACAGCAGCCCCTCCTCTATTATAGGCAACACTCATTTAGTGTTTTAAGGTTTGCAAAGTGCTTTACCAATATCTCATTTGATCCTCATAACAACTCGGGCAGGTGGTGCTATTCCCATTTTACAGATGAGGAAACTGAAGCATTAGCACTTGCTATCTCTCATGCCTGGGATTCTCTCTCTCCTCACCTCGGCCTCCTAACTTCTCTGGCTTCCTTCAGGTCTCAGCTAAAATCTCATCTTCTACAAGAAGCCTTTCCCAACTCCCCTTAATGCTAATGCCTTTCCTCTGTTAATTATTTAAAATTTATTTTGTATCTACCTCGTTTAAACAAAGTTGTTTGCATGTTGTCTATCCCATTGGATTGTGAGCTCTTTGAGGGCAGGGGCTGTCTTTTACCTTTCTTAGTATCCCCAGCTGAAGTGCAGGCACATAGCAGGTGATTAATAAATGCTTGTTAACCGACTGGGACAAACTTGCCCAGAGTCCCACAGCCAGGAAGTGTCTGAGGCTGGATTTGTGCTCAGGTCTTCCTGACTCAAGCCCAGTGTCCTTCCTCTGTGCCACATACCAAGGGTTTAGACTTAGAGGAGCCTTTTGGGAGCTCATCTAGTCTGACTTCTTTATGTTAAGGATGAAAAAAATGAAGGCCAGAAAAGTCAAGTGACTTGCCCAAGCTCACATGGTTAGGTCATAAGTGGCAGGGTCAGGATTAAAACCCAGGACCTTGACTCCAAATCCCATGTTCTTTCACTGCTCCAACTGCCTCCCCCCTATGATGTCATGGCCAAAATCCCATCATCCTCATGGCGAACCTTCTGGTTAAGGATCTGATCTCAGCTACAACAATCCTCTGACAAATACAATGATCACTAAACACAAAACCTGTTTGGTCCAGTTGGACTTCCCACAGTTCATACTCCAAAAGCAAAGCATTCAAGAACTCTGGGTCATCGTCATCATCATAACTGAATTAAATTCACTTTAAAAGCCACTTGGAATTATGCAAATACAGTATCTAACATGTCTATATACTTTGACCTAGAGATTCCATTAATGGTCTTAAACTTCAAGTACAGTATCGACAAGAAGAGAGTCTCCACCCTCATAACACCAAAATATTTATAAAATCACTTTTTGTGACAGTAAAGAATTGGAGACAAAGAGATTTCCCTCAACTGAGGAATTGCTAAACAAATCACAGTGCATGAGTGTAATGGAATATTACTGTGTTGTAAGAAGTGATAAATGAGATGAATATAGAGAAGCATGAAAAGATCTATATGAACTGATGCAGAGTGACGTCAGCAGATTCAAGAAAACAATATACACAACCATTTGCAATAATTAAAACAGAAAGAACAACCACAAAGCCAAAACATCAAAAGCAAATGTAAAATTAGAAAGAACATGCAGGGCTCAAAAGAAGAGACATCGGGAGTTGACAGAGGTGGGAGGTCCCCACGTACTGCACATTGCAGGGTTGTTTGTGGACTTTTTCCAAAAGTGTCGATCTATTGTGCTTATTTTTCCTCTTCTTTTTCTTTCTTTCTTTCTTTTTTTTTGATCTTTAAAATAATATTAGTTATATGGGATGGCTCTTGGGGGGGGAGGGTGAGATACTGGAAAACTATGGAGATATAAACGACAAAAGACATCATTAAAAACTTTTAATTTAAAAAATAAAATAAATGGTGCTTTAAGGTTTGAAAAGCACTTAATATACATATACCATTTCATCCTGTGAGATGAATAACTACAAGTAGAATAAAAGTAGCTAAATTCCTTGCTATTCTTCATTTTGTATCCCCCACACCCAAAGCTGTACCTTGTACAAATGTACAAATATAAGTATTATTATCTCCATTATACAGATGAAGAAAAGGACACTTGAGAGCTTAAATGACACACAGCTCAAGTCACACAGCTAGTATTAAAAGCCAGGTCTTTCTTATTTAAAATCCACATCTTTAACGGAGGTTTCCACATAGTAGCTGTATAACCATTAGCTTTCAAGTGACAAAAATGTCCTACACCCTTTGATCGAGAGATCTCAGCAACAGGCATATACTCGAAGGCCGACAAAAACAGAAAGCTCCATATAAACCAAAATATCCATAATGTGACTTTGAGTGACAGCAAAGAACAGAAAAAAGGGGGTACCCAATAACAAGGGCAGAGTTAAATAATGGTACATGAATGTAATGGATTATTATTGTGCCCCAAAAAATGAAGAGGAAGAAATGTGAGAAACACATCAATAATCAATTAGTTCAATAAACATTTATTGAGCGCCGACTAGGTGCCAGGCCCTTAGGGCATTAAGACATAAATAGGAAAGCAATAGAAAGGCCAGTAAACTGTAGCTGAACAACCGAAAAGGGGGGCGGGGAGGATTCACCTCCCTCGTTTTGTTGGGGGGGGTAGCTACAGGTGGCGTGTCACCTTCTGTGATGCAGTTGTGAGGGTCGCTTCTGCTGCACTGTTTTTTTGGTGAGGATTTTGTAAACACTCGTTACCAGGGAAGATTCCCCGAGTGTGGAGATGGGCATACCCACACGTGCCTGCCCCTACAAGCAAACCGCATCGATAAAGCTCTGTTTTAAAGGCAGCTCGCTGAACTTCCACCTGTTTATTCTCCCAGGTGCATCCCAGCCCAGGGATTTAAATGTGTGGTCCTCCAGCAGCTGGAGGGGAGAAGAGGCGGGGCCCGAAGGGGGAGGAGCTAGCTCTCAGACTCTGATTGGGCCGGGGGCGCGGGAGGGAGTTTTAAAAGCCGACCCAGGCCCCGTCTGCGCCAGTCTGGAGACGCTGAGACACCTACCAGGTCTCGGATGAGCTGCTCCAACAGCCGGTCGCCGCCAGCGCTCTCCGGGTGCTCGGGCTGCGGGGCCTCGGGGGTCTGGGGGACCCGTTCCCCGCTGGGGCAGGAGAGCTCCTCGGCGGTCCGGGGCGGGGGCGGGGCCAGCGGGCACTCCCCGCCCTCCAGGAGGCACTTGGCCAGTTCGAAGTAGCCCAGAGCAGCCCCGGGCGGCTGGGCAGGGGCACCTCCGGGGGCGGCCCGCACGGCCCCGCAGCTGCCCCGCTGCGACACCTGCTCAGGCTCCCTGGCCGCCCCCGCCGGCCCCTCTCCGCTCCGCCGCCTCTTGGCCGGCCCCTCTCGGAGGGCCAGCTCCTCCCGCCAGCGGCGGCGGAACTCGTCCAGGCCGGCCTCGGCCATGGGGGGCGCAGCCCCAGCCACCCACTCACCGCGACGGGGGCGCCCTCACCCCGAGATCAGGGAGACCTTCTGTCAAGATAAAAGGGAGCCTGCACCCCGAGATCGGGGGAACCCTCACACCGAGATAAAGGGGGGCCTTCACCCCGAGATAAAGTGCAGCCCTCACCCCAAAATCAAGGGGACCCTCTGTCAAGATAAAGGGGAGCCTGCACTCCGAGATCAGAGGAACCCTCTGGCAAGATAAAGGGCGGCCCTCACCCCTAAATCAAGGGGATCCTCTGTCAAGATAAAGGGGAGCCTGCACCCCAAGATAAGAAGGACCCTCTGTCAAGATAATGGGAGACTCTCACCCTGAGATAAAGGGGACCTTCCCTCAAGATGGAGGGCCGTTTACCCTTAAAGGGGAACCCTCACTCCAACATCAAGGGGATTCTTACCTGGAGATAAAGGGAGACACCCCGAGATAAAGGGGAGCCTACACCCTGAAATAAAGGGAGACCCTCACCCCAAGATCAGAGGGACTATCACCCTGAGATAGAAGAAATCTGCCCAAAATAAAGGGGGACCCTCACCCCAAGATCAAGAAAGGAACACTCAGTGAAATTAAAAAGAACCCTGTCACCCCCAAATCAAGAGGGGTGCTCATCGTGGGATCAAGGGGGACCCCTCACCCAGAGATCAAAAGAACTAACACTGCAATCAAGAGAACCCCTCACGCTGAGATCAAGGGAGACAACTCCAAATTAAAGGGAGTGAGCCCCACGATCAAGACTACTCACCCCCCAAACTAGGGGAACCATCACTGAGATCAAGGACTATACACCCCAAGATAGAGACCCTCACCCCAAGATCAGGAGGGAAGATGTCACGCTGAGATCAAGGGGGGCCCCTCACCTTGAAACCACAGGAAGGGAACCCCTTTACCCGAAGATGAAAGCGAAATGAACCCTCACCCCAAGAACAAGGGGTCCTACCGAAGATAAGAGGGAGACCCCCGTTCACTCCCAATTTACCCCCAAATGGGGCCTCTCCCCCAAAATCCCAGAGAGGGGACGCGCCCCCCGAGTCTGTCCGGTCCCACCTCCCTCCCTCGCCCCAGCTCCGCTCGCTGCACAGGGAGACCCCCACGTCCCTGCCGTCCCCGGAGGCCGGGCCCCTCTCCTCTAGCCCAGCGCCGGCGTCTTCCTCGGTCTCCTCCGGAACTGTCCCTCAAGGACAAGGGTCCGCCATCGGAGCCGGAAACCAACGCCTAGGTCCTTGGGTTCCGGGCGATCTCCGGGCGCATGCGCGGCCCTGCCCCCTTCCCGCCTCCCAGGGCGTTCCCGCAGTCTGACCCAGCTGGGGCCGAGACTGCCGGGCTGTCAGTCCAAAAGGGCAAGGGGCGGGGCTTTGTGCGCTCGCTGCCAGGGGGTGGGTGGCGGCGTCAGTTAGTCAACCTGCATTTATCGAGCTCCTACTGTGTGCCGGGACTGAGCTAGGCACAGAGGCACTGGACAGACACCCCCTCACAGCTTCCTAGTTTCCCCAAATACTACTGGGAATTATCCAAGATAGTCCGGCAAACGTTATTCATGGCGTGATGGATAGCATAGTAAACTTGGAATTGGAAAGACCTGGGTTCAAATGCTCCCCCCAGACTTTTGCGCTATGGGATCCTGACCAAGTCACCTCAGTTTCCTTTTCTGATAAATGAGGGGGTTGTATTCCATAAGCGCTAAATGGATGGATGGATGGATGGATGGATAGGAAGATGGATGGATAGATAGATGGAGGGATGGATGGATAGGTAGATGGATGGATACATAGATGGATGGATAGATGGGTAGATGGATGGATGGATAGATAGACAGACAGACAGACGGACAGACAGACAGCCGGATGGATAGACAGAGAGCCGGATGGATGGACGGACGGATGGATGGATGGATAGGTAGGTAGATGGATGGATAGATAGGTAGACAGATGGATAGATGGATGGATGGATAGATATATAAACAGACAGACAGACGGATAGATGGATAGATGGATGGATGGGAAGATGGATGGATAGATGGATGGATGGATGGATAGATAGATAAATGAATGGATGGAGGGATGGATAGATAGAGAACCCTTCTGCCCTCAAGGGGTTTGCATTCTATATTACCAAACAGAGACAGCCTGGTGAAATGCAAAGCTGACCTCAGGGTCAGAAAAACTTTCCTCTCTGCTATATATTGACTGGATTAATCACTGAACCTCTCGGCTCTCCAAAATGCTCTCTAGAATCATACTAGAATGGAAGCTAGAAGGGATCCGAGAGATCTTCTTATCCAACCCTTTCATGTTACAGAGAAAATGGATAGGATCATAGATTCAGAACTGGAAGAGACCCCAGAAATCATCTGGCCCAGTGGTGTCAAACTCAGATAGAAATATATCCCTTCAGGCAGCATACTGACTCAGAAAACCACAAATAAACATTATTCATGTTATATTTTTATTAATTTCATTAAACATTCAGGAGGGATTTGACACCTATGAATTCTAGTCCAACCCCCCTCCCCCCACCATGAGGAGTATGGTTAAATGACTTACTTCCCCGAGGTCACTGGCACAGTAAGTGTGAGAAGAAAAATTTGAACCCAAGTTCTCTGATTGGAGAGTTAGTGCCCCTGCCAGCAAATCTAGGTTAAAAAAAAAAAAAGATAGGCACAGGGTAGAGTAATGTATATCAGAGGCAGCTAGGGGGCACCATAGTGCACAGAGCACCAGGCTTGGAGTTAGGAAGACATCTTCCTGAGTTCATATCTGGCCTCTGACACTAGTTCTTTGACCTTGGGCAAATCACCTAACCCTGTTCCCTCAGTTTCCTCATCTGTAAAATGAGCTCGAGAAGGAAATGGCAAACCCACCAGTATCTTTACCAAGAAAACCCCAAAAGGGGTCACAGCGAGTCAGACATGACTGAAATGATTCAACAACAACAATGTACATAGCAAGCCAGCTACAGAAAAAGACTTGGATTCGAGTCAATTAATAAACTTACATTTATTAATCATCTACAATGTATAGGTACTGCACTCAACCTTAGGAACACAGTTACAAAAAAAAGACTTTTTCTGGAGAAGGATTTATTTTATCAGGGAACCTAATATGTACAAATACTGCACATCTAAGACTCAGGTTCTTGCCATCATTTCGTGGTCACCTTAGCACAAAGCAGCCACAAGGGAGTTCCAAAGGCACTCTGATGGTTGATGAAAAATAATGGTCAAAATTGGGAAGAAAGCTTCACTCATTGGAATCCGCTTGTCCTCATTGCTTATCCTTTTTTAATTAAATCCTTTTTTTTCTATTGCTAAATAAATCTATTTTTGTTAAACGTTGAATGACCTACAGGTGTCTCAACATTTTCTTCCAATATAAAACAAACTACCAGGGGACTGGCCTGAGTCAGGCCCAGCCCAGAATAGGGGAAAAGTCAAATTAATCCAATAAACATTTATGAAGCATTTCATATGGGCCAGGCACTGTGCTAGTCACCGAGGTTACAAAGCAAAGCAAAAACAGATCTCAGCATTCAAGGAGATCACAGTCTAATGGGAGAGAGACAATATTCAAACAGCTATGCACAAACGAGATATTTTGGAAATGTTGGTTTGAGATGTCTCCAGGGCAACCAGTTTGAAGTGTCTGATAGGCATTGATATAGGTGCTGCAGGACTGAAGCTCAGAAAAGATACCAGACCTAGACATATAGATCTGTGAGACATCTGCATGGAAATGATAATTAAGTCCAGGGGAGTTAATAAGATCACCAAGAGAGAAAGAGAGTAGAAAGAAAACAGGGTTCAAGACAAAGCCTGAGGGCACTCCTACAGTTAGGTTTGAATGTTTGATAAATGATTTTTTTTTAAAATCGCATTAAGAGCATGAGTTCTGGGCTGCAGCGTTCTATTTTGGAAATGTTGAGTTTTAGGTGTTTCTGAGGCAACCAATTTGAAGTGTCCAATAGGCAGTTAGTGATGCAGGGCTGGTACTCAGGAGAGAGACAGACTTGGACATATAGATCTGCATATGGGAGTCATTGGCATAAAGATGATAATTAAATTGGGCTTGAGGATGAGAGAGAGAGAGAGAGAGGGAGAGAGGAGATGAGGTAGAAAGAGAATGGAGAGACACACACAAAAAGGAGAGAGGCAGAAACAGAGAGACAAAGAGAGAAAGAGACGGAGAGAGCCAGAGAAAGGAGAGAGAAACAGAAAGATGCAGAGACACAGAGACACAGAGAACAGAGAGAGGGGAGAGAGAGAGAGACAGAGACAGAGACAGGGAGAGAAAGGAGAGAGAGAAAGAGATGGAGAGAGACAGGGACAAGAGAGAAAGTCAGAAAGACAAAGAAACACAGACAGAGACACAGAAAGAGACAGAGAGATACCTTAGAAAGAAAAACAGAGAGGTGAGAGAGAGAGACAGAGACAGAGAGAGATTGGACAGAGAAGAGGCAAGACAGAGCCCTGGAGTATACCCATATTTAAGTTTGAATGTTTGATGAATGATTTTTTTTAATAAATTACCATAGTAATTGCTAGTCATTTCTCCCCTCCTTGTCTCAAAGTGAGGATGTTGAGACACAATGAGATTGAGAAGGGGCAGTCAGACAGGTAGAGTGAGAACCAAGAGAGGACAGTATCCAGGAGGAGAGAGGGGGATCGACTGGGTCAGATGCAGCAGATGTAGAGAAGGGCAAAGACGGGGAAAGACCAATAGATCTAGCAATTAAGACATCGTTGATAACTTTGTAGAGAACTATTTCAGTTGAATGATGAGTTGGAAAGCCAAGTTGCAAAGGGCTGAGGAGTTACTGAGAGGAGAGGAAATCCCTCTGATATTTCTGACATTTTGAGCTATGTGACTCTAGGTAAAACATTTAAATGTTTAGTGCCCCAATTCTTGATGAATATAAGTTGCAGAACAGGTACAGATCAGCATTTGTGAAAGGAGTTCTCTTACCTGGA